AGTATTTATCTCTTAGAAATGTTAGTAAGTGGGTGGAGGGGGGTTGAGGATGGGAAGGGGAAACAAAGGAGGAGGCTACAATGCTTGATAAGAAATGTACTCATTATCTTGCCCATGTAATTGTAACCCCTCTGTACAGTATTTTCACAATAAAAAAAGAAATGTTAGTAATACTTAGACCAAAAGAAAATCACCAATACAGTACTATACAAAGCTGTAACTATGAAAGAATAAAGCAAGGACCAAAGTACCTACATTTACTAGCAGTACTAAAAATATGGTTAACCATATGTCAATAATTAATCTTAGAATTGGAATAGAGAGAGAGACAGACTGTGACAAAACATGTAAAAGAGTAAATGTGTAAATGTCTGTGTAGCCAGGTACTGGTGGCTCACACCTGTAGTCCTATCTACTCAGGAATCTGAGATCTGAAAACTGAGGTTCAAAGTCAGCCCAGGCTGGAAAGTCCATGAAATTCTTCCCTACAATTAATTACCAAAAAACCAGAAGTGGACCAGTAGTTCAAGCACTAGAACACTAATCAGGAGGCTAAGATCAGTAGGAACATAGTTTGACACCAGCCCAGGCAGAAAAGTTTTCTAAACACTATCTACAAAATAACTAGCAAGAAGCTAAACTGGAAGCATAGTTCAAATAGTCAAGTACCAATCATGAGCAAGCAAGCCAAACAAGTGCAAGACCCTGAGTACTTGGGAAGGGGGGGGTGTAGAGAGTGCTTAAAATATGACTTTGGATGATCTCTTAAAATTTTACAGTATTTGAGAACCTAAATGATTATTTTTTTTTATTTTATTTGTGAAGATACTGTACAGAGGGGTTACAATTACATGGGCAGGATAATGCGTACATTTCTTACCAAGCATTGCAGCCTCCTCCTTTTGTTTACCATAAATGATTATTTTTAAATAATAAAAACAGTTAAAATTTTTAATATCCAAAAAAGAAAAGAAAAAAGGTTTAAGCCAGGCACTGGTGGCTCATATCTGAATTCCTAGCTACTTCAGAGGTTGAGATATGAAGATCATGATTCAAAACCAGCCTGGGAAAAAAAAGTCCAGGAGACTTCTATCTCCAATTAACCAGCAAAAGACCAGAAATAGAACTGTGGCTCAAGTGATAGATAGTACACCAGCCTTAAGTGAAAATGCTAGCTAAGAGTGCTAGGCCAAGTACCAGCACACACACACACACACACACACACAACATGTTAACACTACAGGGGATTGTCTTAGTCTCTTGGTATAGAAAGGAGAAAGAAAAAAGAAGGAAAAGACAGTAAGTGCATATTCCGAACAATGAGAGCAGCATGAAGTGATGTGAGAAGCCAGATGTGAATAGAGAGAGCAGTCAGCAGAGGGCAGCATGAACTTCATGTGCCTTATTCTGAGGTTAACCAGATTGATTCTATCAAGACTGCAAAAAAGCTTCCAAAAGTTGCCTTTAAGGAGAGCGATGATACGTGCAAAGTGATGCTTTAAAAATCTATTTGGAGTGGGTGCCAGTGGCTCACGCCTATAATCCTATCAGGAGACTGAGATCTGAGGATTGCAGTTCAAAGGCAGTCCCTGCAGGAAAAGTCTGTGAGACTCTTATCTCCAATAAACCACTCAGAAAACTGGAAGTGACACTGTGACTCAAGTAGAGCGCTAGCCTTGAGCTGAAGGGCTGAGGGACAGCGCCCAGGCCCAGAGTTCAGGCCCCACGACCAACCCAAAAAGAATCTATTTGGAAAACAGCACTAGCTACTCAGGAGGCTGAGATCTGATTAGGATGGTTCAAAGCCAGCCTGGGAAGGAAAGTCCAAGAAACTCTTTATCTCCAATTAAACACCAAAAAGCTGGAAGTAGTACTGTGGCTCAAATGATAGAGCACTAGCCTTGAGCACAAAAGGTCAGAGATAATGCCCAGGCCCTGAGTTCAAGCCCTAGAACTAGCACCAAAAAAAAAAACAAAAAATCAATTTGGAACTGGACACAATGGCTCATACCTGCTAACACTAAGCTGCTCAGGAGGCTTACATGTAGAAAGTCACACAGTTCACAGCCAGGTCTGGCAAAAAGTTCATAAAACCTCAACCAATTAGAAAGATAGGTGTGGTGGTACACAACTGTCCTCCCAGCTCTGTGAAAAGCATAATGAGATGGACTAAGGTCTAGAATAGCCCTGAAAAAAAAACAAGGCCCTATTCAAAACTGAACAAAAGCAAAAGAGGGCTGAGGGCATGGCTCAAGTGATAGAGTGCTGCCTAGCAATACAGGCCCTGAGTACAAACCCCAAGACTACCATATAAACTTTTCATTTAATTTGATCAGGCATGGTGATATATGTATGCAATCCCAGCTACTGATGGTTCAAGCCTATAATCCTAGCTACTCAGGATGAAATATGAGAATCTGAGATTCAAAACTAAATTGGGGGGCTGGGAAGGTGGCTCAGTGGTAGAGCCCTTGCCTTGCATGCCTGAGGCCCTGGGTTCCATTCCTCAGCACCACATAAGCAAAAAGAAAAAAACTGGAAGTGGCGCTGTGGCTCAAGTGGTAGAGTGCTAGCCTTGAGCTGAAGAGCTGAGGGACAGTGCCCAGGCCCAGAGTTCAGGCCCCACGACTGGACCAAAAAAAAAAAAAAAAACTAAGCTGGGCAAACAAATCCAAGAGACCCTCTTATCTCCAATTAACCAGCAAAAAGCCAGAAGTGGAGGTGTGGGGCTCAAATAGCCTTGAGTGAAGAAGCTAAGAGACAGTACCTGGGCCTTGAGTTAAATTCCACAGACTGACACACAAAAAAAAAAAAAAATCAGTTTGGATGGAGTACGTAGGAAAGGCAGCCACAGATAGACCGTAGGTAGGTAACAAATGCTCACTGGATGAGGACAGGCCAAGGCTAAGGTAGAATGGGGCTTTGAGGAGGCCCCTGCCTGATGCCACCTGCTGTTCTAACTCTATCCCAGCATCCTTTCCTTCTTTCTTTACTCCTGACAAAGTGACCAAAGACTTTGGCTAACTGCAGACAGTGTCCAGTACTACCTACGAGGCTCTGGGCCTTCACAATGCAACTGTTTCTAGGTGGTATAAGGTTGCTTGAAATGATCAGGACTCCCAATGTGATCTTTCCAACTTAGCATCCACATCATTCAATGTTCAAACTCTCTGGCCTACCAAGCCCCACTTACTAAGGAACAAAATAGCTCTCCCATGTTTATTCATCAAAACTATGTATAACTACCATAACTGCTGCACTGAGCTTCTGAACAGCTAAATAACCAACATCATGATGAATTCATGTCATTCCAGCCATTCACTTTGTGAATGCGGGGAGAGGGATGGAGCTACATTAAAGCAGCTCCACAGTAGAACACTTGTCTATACATAAAGCCCTGGGTTTAATTCCTAGAACAGAGAAGAGAAATTATTTGACTCAACTTATTACCTAAGCCTGAGACCCTGGGAACTGAAGACTGAGAACAGCTTCAAGCTCTGCTCTGATAAGAGTGATCTGGTAAGAGTGATCAGGCTGCTAATGCTGCCTGAAAGCCCAAAACAGGCCTAGCCACCATGTACCTTATAATCACTCAGAAACCTTTGCAAACATACCGCTATTGGGGCCCACCTACCCCAAGGGATGCCAGCTGATTGGTCCAGTTGAAACACAGGTAATAGTACTTTTTAAACCTTCAGGTAAACTCATTGGCCAGAAAACAGAAAGAACACAAGAGCCTGGACAAAACATCCTGGCAACAGGCTCAGGATGAGGTCCAGAAGGAAGCATATATAAGCTATTTTTTTTTATCTGCAAGGGAATATGGGATGGGGCTCATTCAGGGTCTCCATTCTCAGCCACCCATGATTGCTGTTGCCAAAGCACTTTTGAGAATAGATATATTCTGAATGGGAGCCACCAATCCTTTAAGGTCAGGTGCCATCCTCAACAAGGAAACAGAGCCTTGGGAAGTTACAGGACTTGTTCAAGGTCATATAATAGGAGGAAGCAGCATCAGGATTTAACCCCAGACCTTCTGATTGAATCACAGCCCTTCCAAATCATCAGCTGCCCACACCCCTGCATTGTTGAGCTGGGGTGGGGGGGGGGGAACCTGTAGAATCATCAGACTGGAAAGTGCTCTGCTAGCATGCAAGGCACATCGTAATCTTGGGAGCACTGGGTTTCAGGGAGGAATTGATGTTAGCTGGCACCAGTGCCCTTGCTGAGTCAAAGCCAGGGGTCAAACATCTTGTGGCCACCATAAGTACCAAAATAATCTGTTCGCTTGTGACATAGCATTTGCTAGAATCCACCCTCCTTCCAAGGAGAGGGTAAGACCCTCTCTGGGTCTCACCCTGCTCTGGGATCCCCTACCCTCACCCCTAATCTTCAAAGCAATCCTCCAGACTTTCTCTGCTCTATTAACTTGTTCTGCTTGTCCTTGGTCCCTGACCATGCAGAGATTCTCTTTTTCCCCCTCTACCACATCTACTTTTTTTTTGTCAGTCATGGGGCCTGAACTCTGGGCCTGGGCGCTGTTCCTCAGCTATTCAGCTTAAGGCTAGTGCTCTACCACTTAAGGCACAGTGCCCACTTCCGGCTTTTTGTGTGTATGTGGTGCTAAGGAATCGAACCCAGGGCCTCATGCATGTAAGGCAAGCGCTCTACCACTGAGCCACCTTCCCAGCCCCTCATCTGGCATTTTCTTGAGACTAACTCAACTCTTTTCCTCAATGTTTATACTTCCTTTGGACTCTGAGAAGAGTGAGAGAGGGTAAAATGAAATCTCATAGGCTTGGGAGTCAAATATGAGAATGAGAGGACTGAAGCCAGCTCTGTGTGCGTGGCTTGCCTCCCAGTAGTCCACCATTCCTTTCATGTGAGAAACTTGCTGAGTGTGGCAAGCTTAACAAGATGCCTTCCTGCCAGTGGGGATGTCCAGAAGGGCCTCATGGGCCTTTGTTCTCAGGGAGACAGGTAGGGTCAGAGAGGCAAAGCTATGTAAAAGCTTCCAAATGATGATGGCTATTCCCCTTCTCCAGATTTCCACTAGCATGGATTTTCTGATGCTGGCTAAGGTGTAAGCTTCTTTGGAAAGACTTGCCACACAGATTACATCCATAGGGCTTCTCTCTGGAATAGGTTTTATAATGCTCAATGAGAGCCAACCTGTGTCTGAAGGCTTTGCCACACTCACAGGTGTACAGCTTCTTGCCAGGATGGATCCTCTGGTGCTGAATCCGTGCAGAGCTGTGGCAAAAGGCCTTGCCACAGTGACAACACTCATAGGGCTTTTCCCCAGTGTGGATCCGCTGGTGCTCAGTGAGTGAGGAACGACGGCTAAAGGCCTTCTCACACTTATGACACGTGTAGGGTTTCTCACCAGTGTGGGTCTTCCAATATTCGATGAGGTTGGAGCTCTGGCTGAATGCCTTCCCACACGTTCTTCACACTTGTAAGCTTTCTTCCCTGTGTGAATCCACTGGTGCCGGATGAGGTAGGATCTGTGACAGAAGGCTTTCTCACAGAGGTCGCATTCATGAGGTTTCTTAAGGGTGTGGATTTTCCAATGCTGGCTAAGGCCTGAACTCTGGATGAAAGCTTTCCCACATTCCTTACACTGAGAAGGTCTCTCTCCAGTATGAATTCTCTCATGTTTTTGGACACTAGAGCTCCAGCTGAAATCCTTCCCACATTCCCTACACTCATAGGGCCTCTTCCCTGTGTGGATTTTCTGGTGTTGGGTGAGGGCTGAGCTCTGGCAAAAGGCTTTCCCACACTCTTGGCATTGGTAGGGCTTCTCCCCAGTGTGGATGACCAAGTGTCAGAAAAAGTGGGAGCTCTGGCTGAAGGCCTTTCCGCACTCATTACTAGCATAGGGCTTAGTGGGATGCAGGCTTCTGTGAGGTGCATTGAGTCGTGACTTACCCTGCCTGCTTCCTCTTCTCCACTGTGGATTATCCGAGAGACACTGGAGTCGGATTTCTGAAGTAAAGTTTGGACAAATGGATCCTCATCTTGAGATCTGCCCCCAAGGGTAATCCTCTGATATGGAATGGGGCTTGAGCACAGGTGGAAATTCCCCCCATAATCCTCCCATTCCACATCTTGCTCTCCAAGAGGAATCTCCTTATAGATGACAGCCATTTGCTCCAAGCCTCCTTCATGAAGGAAAGAATTCCCTCGATCCTCACCTGGGAAAAGTTCTTGATGAATCTCTAACTTGTTCTCAAACATAAAGGTGTTATCAAACATGCTTGCTGGGGGAACCTCCATTGTGAATCTGGTATCACTGTCAATAATCAGATATCTTTAAAACACTCTTCTTTGGGCCATACTTTTCCATGATAAGTCTATAGTAGAAAAGACCAAATGATGGTAAGACACAACCTTGTCCCTGAGAGGATGAATTAGAGACAAGTTTCACTTACCTAAAGCAACTACAAGAAAGAAAGGCACAACCAAGGGTCACACCATGGTGTCTAGACTGGTTTACAAGGGGGAGTAAAAACAGGAAGTAAAGCCATTGTGGAATAGGGGGAAAAGCCTTCTGCCATTAGATGACAATAATGCTGTGGGTGGCTTTTGTTAGGAAAGATAGAGAACACATTCCTCCTACCTTAGTTTAACAGCACTACTGCCAGACAAAATCCTACACCCTCTCTAGTTTTTATCCTACCAGCCTGAGGCCTCATGCCAGGAAGGGATCTCTGCCCTCTGTCCTCACTGTCACGAAGCAAGCAGCTCAGGTCTCAGAGTGACTCCCCAGAACATGTTCAATACTTGCTTCCTAACCAACTGCTTCTCTGGTCCTCACTCTATATGGACACTAGCAGCAAGTATCCAAAACATAAGCCTGATCTGCATCATGTTTCTTCTCAGGATCTCTTGGTAATCACACTACTGGACAAGGCCCTTCCTATTTGGCACTTTCAGCCCTGTCTCTAGCTCTCACTTTTCCAACCTACTCACCACCCAGCTCACCAATTCATTTGCACTGCTTTTACCTTCTCCTAAAAAGTCCTTGTCCTGTTCTCAGATTGCCACTAGGTGGTCCTTCCACATTCAATCCAAATCTTTCCCCTTTTCTGAGCCCTCAGACTCTGGACTATCTCAGACATATTCCCCCACCCACCCCTTTTTCCCTGTGAGCTGAGGGGCTGGATACAGTCTGTCACACATTTACAAGACTCTTTGCTTAGGGACATCTCCCTAAGGACAAGTATTAGGTACTAATAGGAATTCCAAGGATCCAACACAACACAATCCCAGCACACTACATTGGGGAATAAATGACCCAAGAGAAGAAAAGCCATTTATTTTTGTGCTACAACTGACTGTCATACATCTTTTTTTTTTTTTTTGGTCATGGGGCTTAACTCAGGACCTGAGCACTGTCCCTGAGCTCTATCACTCAAGGCTAGTGCTTACTACTTTGATACACAGCTCCATTTCTAGTTTTCGAGTAGTTAATAAGAGATAAAAGACTCACAGGGACTCTTCTTCCTGGGCTGGTTTTGAACCATGATCTTCAGATATCAGTCTCCCAGTTAGCTAGGATTACAGATGAGAGCCACCAGCACCCAACACATCTTTTATTATTATTATTGTTGTTGTTGTTATTAAAAATAATTGTCTAGAAAATATAAATAAGTAAGACAGACAGAAAGCAGATCTGCTCCAATGGACAGGGCATTTTAGAGGGAATAAAGGAAGGAGGTTGGAACACTTCATTCTGCCTTCCACTCTACTTCAGAGGGCCTCTCAGAGTCTCACTGAGAAACGTAACTGAAAATAAACAAGAAGTTGTTAGCTACTCAGGAGACTGAGATCTTGAGGATCAAGTTCAAAGCCAGCCCAGGCAGGAAAGTCCATCAGACTTATCTCCAATTTACCATTAAAAAGCTGGAGGCAGAGCTGTGGCTCAAGTGGTAGAGCACTATCTTTAAGTTTGGGGGGGGGGGAAAGCTCAGGAGCTGTACTCAGGCTCTGAGTTCCAACCCCAGAACAGACACAAGGGAAAAAAATTTTTTGTTAGAGGATGTGACTACTGAGCACCTACTATATGCCAGGGAGTACTAGAAATTCCATAAACATACCTCATTTAATTCTCACAGTTTTACACGAAGGTACTATGCTATCAATTACTCAAGCTTAGAGAAAAAGGCTCATAAACAAACTAAAAAACATCATCCTAAATTACTCAGAATAGACATAATGGAACTTGCTGCAATTTGGAAGTGACCTTTTTAATGTTTCAGCCAGTAGAAAAGCCATGGATGGAAAAGCACACAAGTAAAAATACCCTCTTTGATTAGGCTGAGGCCAGCTCAAGGGTAGTGTTTGTCTAGCATGCAGAAGGCCCTGGGGTCAATCCCCAGCAATGAGAGAAAAAAATAAAAATCTTTTCCACTCCTGTTACCCCATCCCCTCCTTCAGCAGCACAGTCTCTAGCCCTTCTTGTTTTTCTGAGGTCATCAAACCCAATAGCCTCCCCCCTCCCACCCCCCATGTCCCATTTCACCCAGGTTTTCTTCTTCAAGTTCCACTCTTTCTCTATCTGACATAGAACTTTACTTTCCATAGTGAGTGTAACTATGGGCACCCCTTTAACTGTCTGGCCAGCATTACATTCTTCACCTACTTGCCCTGGGTTTCTATCTAGTTCCCAACCTTTCCTGCCAGTTCCTCCTAAGGTGGCAAATGCTGCCAACTATGCATGGCACCAGGACAGATTTTGGGTTCCATCAACTGGGACTTCAGACCTCAGCATCAGCATCCAATGGCCTTATTTCCAAATCCCTCTCTTCCTAGGCTCACCTTCCCACCCTATCTGGCATTGTTCACCAAGGCTACCTTCTCAAATCCAACTTGTCAAAAGTTGCAAATTGGCAGCTTAGGAATCCTGCCACACAGACACATTTTGCTTGGCTCTTCAAGAGTTGAGCTTCCCCAGTTTCCTTAAATTCAAGTAGATTTCCCCTTATCCCGCGCTCTCTCTCTCTCTCTCTCTCTCTTTCCCTTCCTCCCTCCCTCCCTTCCTCCCTCTCAGTCTTTTCCTCAGTCTCTCTGTCTTTCTGGATTTAACTGGGGCTTAATCTCTGGTGTCAGGTGTTGTCTTTAGCTTTTTGCTCTACCACTTGAACCACAATCCCACTTCTGACTTTTTGGAGATGTCTCACACTTTCCTGCCTAGGCTGGATTCAAAAGTCCATCCTCAGATTTCAGCCTCCTGAGTATTACCAGAACCAAGAGCCAGCACTTGTTTCCTTTTGAAAATTAAAAGATTTAGCAAAGTGAATCTACTCCTTCACTAACCCTCAGGTTGCCTACCTAGATACCTGAAAACTTTGAGTTGGCCTCAATCCTCCATCCCCACTTTCTTTTATTCCCTTGGATATGTGTGTGTGTGTGTGTGTGTGTGTGTGTGTGTGTGTGTGTGTGTACATGTGTGTACCAGGGCTTGAACTGGGAGCTATCCTTAAGCTTCTTTTGCTCAATACTAGCAACTCTACCACTTGAGCTACAACTCTTATTTTCAGCTTTTGGCAATTTAGTGGAGATGAGTCTCAGAGACTTTCCTGCCAGGTCTAGCTTGGAACAGAGATCCTCATATCTCAGCCTCCTGAATAGCTAGGATTACAGGCACTAGCAATTTCCTGGGTTTCTGAAAGGTTTTTTTTTCCCCCAAATTTTCCAGCCTTCTGATTCCTCCTTCTTGATGGGTTGCAACTCTTTCTCCACTTAACCTGTTAAATACTGTTTTCCAAGGTTCCCTTTTTGGTAATTTCCTATTTCCACTATGTATCTTCTACACCCAGAATTCGTTGCTCTAGATAAAAAGTTGCCACTACTTTATCTGTCCCCAACAGTGTGTTAAATGTTTCCTGACTACACATTCGAAGGTCTGGGACCCTTTGCTTCCCAACACTCTGTGCCTTCCCCCAAACACCTCCTGCATCGTTCGCCCCACCTTTCAGGTGGTCCCCAGGGCCTGGGCCCCCTGAAAAATACTCAGTGCAGTGTCAGGGTTGCCCAGCCAGGGGCCGGCGGGTGTCCGACCCGCACAAGCTGCAGGTGAGACGACGCGGTTCCCCGGACCGGCTTCGCACGGATTGGGCACATTGGCGCTCAGAGCCAATCGAAGGGCAAGTGATCAGGCAGATTCGGGTCTTCCAGGTGGACACGGGGGGCACTCACCTGGGGCGGGCCGCAGGCAGGCGCAGCGGGGCCTCACCTGCGTAACTCCACCCTGCGTCCGAAGCGGCCCCGCATGGCAGAGGCTGATGCGGAACCCCTGCAGCCCAAGCCGCTCAAGGCCTCGCGGAGGTCCAGGTGTCTCAGTGGTCTTGCTATTCCCCGGCCTAACAACTGTCGGTGGCCCAGAGCTTCCGGTCGTCCCTAAAGCGTTTGCTAGCACATGGGGACAACACACCTGGGCTAGCGTTTCGTGGCGCGCAGAGGAGGAAACTCAGGCTGGGAAAGAGCAGTCTAGAGTCTGGCACCTGGCGCTGCTGGGCACTACCTGGGAGCTGGAGTTGGAAGTTCCCCAAAGCTGTGTACCCGCACAGCCAGGGGGTCCTGTTTGCATTCAGTCTGCTTTGAAAGGTAGCCCTGGTCCCGGAGTGGGAGGTGAAAGGGTGAAGACCCAAGAGATGGCTGAGTGTAGGCAGAACCTTCTTCGTACCCTTGAGCAGCCCAACTCTGCTCCGTAGATGAGACCCCTCTCAGAGGCACCAGGAAGAATGATGGATGTTATGTGCATTCGGGTTTGGGTTATTTTTGGGGGGACAGAACCTAGGGCCTCATACACACTAGGACAAATGGTCTACCACTGATCTATACCCTCCCCTCCCCCCAAGGGATGTTTTTGAAACTACACAAACCTCTATACCAGACACTCAGCTCTACTTTTGATGGCAAGATTTGCCCTTTCCAGCCAGAGGCCTCCTACTTGATCCATGGTAGCTCACATCTGACTACACAGCCAACAGGAAAGCCTCTCCACGAGACCAGTAAGAACACACCCGTCCAGCGATGCTGCACCAGCCATCTGCATAACTTACCTTCAGCCTTGGCTCTCAAATGCCTCAGAGACCCTTCCATGCTCCACACCACCCACACACAACTGCCTTTCTTCCCCATCAAGTATCTTGTACAAAGACTCGAGGGAAGAAGCAAGGGCTTGCCCCTCTCAAAGCCAGCAACCTGAGCTCCTTGGGGACCAGCCACCCAGACCCATGAGCATTATAATAACCACAATCAGATCATGTGAGCTGAAGGTGTCTAGAGCTGCTTCCTCCCAGCACTTCAGGTCATTGGAAAGACAAGCCACCAGACCCAGCCCTTGGGGGATAAGGGCAAAGCAGGGCCACTTCCCCAGGGATCTCAGGTGTTTCCTGTTCAGCAACAAACCCCACAATTCACACACACCCACACTCCCAGACCAACCAATTGCTTTTCAGCCAGGATCACATGGCCCCCATAATGACTGTTGTTGACAAGCTGTATGTGGTTAATCCATTTTACAAAGGAAGGAAGGAAGCAAGACTGAGAAAGAGAGGGATCCAAAGTCAAGGGCAGAAAAGAGAGATTCATTCCATATCCCATCCCTAGAGATCAAGACCATAATGAACAGAGCAGAAGTAATCTGCATCATCCTCAGGCTGCACAGGGCTGATGGTCAGGACGCAAGCATTGTGGACTGTATCCTTGACAGCCCAGAATCGATCAGGAATGTCAGCAGGCCGATAGTGGTCCTCCTCTGAATGGTAGTAGAGAAGGAGGCGGGGGGCACTGCCTGGCCGCTGCTGGTACCAGGACACACCATAGTCCAAGATGGTGGTATGCTGGGGGCTGAGTCTGCAGGAGAGTTGGGCCACTTGGCCTGGGAAGACCAGCAGTGCATCCGGCTGGGCTAGGACTGGCTGTAAGACTGAGAGAAATAGATCTACTTAGACCTGGCCTGGTCCCCTTTTCTCCTGCCCATGCCTAGGAATGGTTGGGGTATAGCAGCCTCCCCAGCCCTGTCCCCCTAAATACCTGGAGCACAACCCAGCAGACTTCCTGCCTACCTCTCTGCTCTGACTCCAAGGTGGCTACCACTTCTAGAGCCCACTGCCATGAGATTGGGTCTGTACTGGGCATGGGAGATATGGTTCCATGTAACTTGGAGTACCCTCTCCGTACCTTCATTTCCCTCTACCAATGAGGACTTTGCAGTTAGTAACCCCCTAAGTCTCTGTTCCAAAGTCTTAAGAATCCACATTCAAAGCTGGGGGGCAAGTTGCTTGTGTGTATAGTCCTGGCTAATCAGGAGCCTGAGATTTGAGGATCTCGGTTCAAAGCCAGTCCAGACAGGAAAGTTCATAAGACTCTTTATCTCCAATTAATCACAAAAAGCTGGAAGTGAAGCTGTAGCTCAAGTAAGAGAGTGCTAGACTGGAGCAAAAGCACTCAGAAACAGCCCCCAGCCCCCAAGCCCCAGCCCCAGTACCAAAAAAAAAAAAATCAACATTCAATTAGGAAATTAATATTCAAGCATGAGACTGGCATTTTTTGGGTGTCTTGGCTACCCACTCCGCTCACTCTGAAAGCTATTTCAAACTCCAGCTACAGATGAGCCATCCCTCTCCAAGAACCTCCGAGCTGCATTATCCACCTTTTCACCCTCAGGCCACTGGCTGCTGGGAACCTGCTCAAGGTTAGGTTACCTTGGTGGCCTGGCCCTTTAGGGGTAAGGAACAGCCAATACCAGCTTCCCCTGTGAAAGATGATCGGGTCTAATCACCTCAGGGGCCCCAGAGATGGCCCAAAGGAAAATAGGGACCTGATCGTCAACCCCTGGAGAAACCACAGCTCACACAAGAAAGTGACTTGTCCCAGGGTCAGGGGCAAAGCTGCCTGGGCTCAAGTCTCCTCTCTATCTGACAGAGGGTCAGATACTCCCCACTGTCCCTATTGATATGCTTCCCTGCCAGAGCCTTTTCAGGCCAGTGCCAACCACCACAACCTACCCCCAAGTGAGACAGGCCAAGGGAGGGCTCACCTGCCAGAAAGGCTCCCATCAAAAGGAGAAACAGGTTCTGGGTGCAGGCCATGGCCAGAGAAACAGGCAGGGAGTTTATTGGGCTATGCTCCTAGTACTGAAGGACACCGGGCTGGGGAGGCTGCTAGACCACAAGAGAGCATGCAAATCATACCCGTGACTGAGAAGGAAAGGGTGTGACTGGAGCCAACCCAGGCCCTCTCTCCCCAAATATCAAGGTCCTGACACATGGGCCTTGGGAGATCAGAAGCCTGAAAGCCCACTTGTGCAGTTATAACAGAAGGTTGGAATCTTCCTCTTCCTCCTTTCTTCTTCCTCTTCTTCCTCCTCCTTCTCTTCTGCTTCTGCGGCTTCTTACACTGGGCATCAGTTCAGGGCCTCAAATAAGCTAGGCAAATGCTTCCATCTCCAGCCTCAAAAATCTGCTTTTATACTGAGGTATAACTAGCATAGAAGAAAGTACATAAACCTTAATTATATAATTTTATAATATATATTATGCATATACATTATGTGCATAAGACACCCAAAAATATCACTCCTACAACTTCCATTAAATCAAGATTTAGAGCATTTCCATTTCTGCAGAGGACAGCCCTTCATACAGTCAACACCGTTCACTCCTCCAGACCTCAAGTTAAAGGATTGGTCCTCAGCTTGGCATTATGGGGAGGTGTGGTCTACAGAAGGTCTTCAGGCCAGTGGGAGTATGCTCTTAAAGGAGATTGTGGGACCCCAGCTCCTTCTCTCTTTTGCTTCCTGGCCCACTATGAAGTGGCTTTGTTCCACTTCACACTCTCCGCCATGATATACTGACTTGCCACATACCCAGTAGCAACAGGACCAGCCTCCCACACAGTGAAATGAAACGATCTTTCCTCTTTATAAAATGAGTACCTTGCCTGGTGCTGGTGGCTCAGTCGCCTGTAATCCTAGCTACTCAGGAAACTTGGGATCTAAGGATTGCAGTTCAAAGACAGCCTGGGCAGGAAAGTTTGTGAGACACTTGTCTCCAATTAACCACCAGAAAACGAGAAGTGTAGCTGTGGCTCAAAGTGATAGAGCACTGTCTTTGTGCAGAAAAGCTCAGGGGCAGCTTCTAGGCCCTGAGTTCAAGCCCCACAACTGAAACAAACAAACAAAAAAAAGTTGACTGCCTTTAGGAGTTAGTTATGGTAACAGGAAACTAACAACCCCTAAGGGAGGTATCCCTGGAACTTTATCACTTACCCCCAGGATCAGGGAGGGCTTAAACTCATCCAGCCTCAAGCTTTAGAATATCTTGCTTACAGTTGGTGCTCTAACAGTTGCTCCAAGCTTCCAGACCAGCTTTTTGATGGTTATTTTGGAGATGGAGTCTTGTACATTTTGCTGCCTAGGCTGGCTTTGAATTTTGATCCTCCAGCTCTCAATCTCTAGAGTAGCTAGAATTGTAAGTATGAACCAATGACACCATCTATCGGATTAATTATGCCTGCTTTAGACACTCTAAATGGAATGACAGTGTATGTTTTGTCTCTGTGTATGTGTGCATGTTGACATGTTTTATCCAATATTAAGAGTCATTTGTGTGTGTGTGTGTGTGTGTGTGTTTATGGGTATCATTCTCTTAGCTATATGTAATTCATTCTGTGAATGCATCATAATTAGTATAGCCATTGTCCTGCTATTAAACATCTGGGGGTTTCTGCTCTTTGGCCACACCCAATAAAATTGCTGCAGCCATTCCTATCAACCAAAAGAGATGTACCTGTTCTCTTTCTGTCTCACACATGCACACTTTCCTCTCCTCTCTTTCCTCTCCTCTCTCTGCCTCTCTCTTTGGAGAGACATCTAGGACTGGTAGGAAGTGTATACTTTTCACTTCGCAGGGTTCATTTTCACTAGCTTCACTTTCGCCAGCAGGTAAAAATTCTAGAGACTTCACATCCTCAGCATCCTTAACATTGTTAATCCCTTTCATCTGCCACAAAGAGGACAGCTGTGGTGCTTTCCAACCTTGGGATTCAAACCCAAGTTTTCAGACATGTTATTTGCTGTATGACTTCAAATAAGTTATTTCCCCTTGAAGTGTCTCAGTTTTCCCATCTGGGAAATGAAAATGAACATGTTGGAAGCTGGAGGGTAGTCGAGATACAAAGATAGTCTGTGTTGGCTCAGTGCTGAACACACTGCATTGATTAAGTGCTCTAGTTAGGATCTAGAATGTCCCTCAGAGACTGATTGATGTATTAACAGCTTATGGAACAATTGGGAAAGATGGTGGAGCCTTTAGGAGGTGGAGCTACTGGAAGATCATAGGTCACTAGGGACTTGCCCTTGAAGGGGATAATTTACCCCTTTCCAAACTCACTCTTGGTTCCCTGGCCACCATGAAGTAAGAAATTTCATTTTTTACTACATACTCCTACCATAGTGTACTGCCTTGCCACAGACTCCAAAGCAATGTGGCTACTTAAGCCTGGACTAAAGCCTCCAAAACTGTAAGTCAAAATAAACCTTTCCTCCTTTTAAGTTGATTGTTACTATAATAGAAAGAAAACCAACACATTAAGCATATCATTTTTTTTTCTTTTGTGCCAATTCTGGGATTTGAACTCAGGGCCTGGGCACTGTCCCTTAGCTTTTTCACTCAAGGCTAGTGCTCTATGACTTGAGCCACAACTTCACTTCTGACTTTGGGTGATAAATTGGCAATAAGAATTTCACAGTTTTCTGCCCAGGTTGGCTTTGAACCAAGATCCTTGGGTCTCAGCCACCTGGGTAGCTAGCATTATAAGTATGCATCACTGGCATGCAGTTTTAAGTTTTTAATTTTTTTTTTGTTTCTGTTTTTTGTCGGGTGTGGGGCTTGAACTCGGCCTGGGCGCTGTCCTTGCGCTCTTCAGCTCAAGGCAAGAGCTCTACCGCTTGAGCCACAGCACCACTTCCAGTTTTCTAGTGGTTTATTGGAGATAAGAGTCTCACGGACTTTCCTGCCTGGGCTGGCTTTGAACCATGATCCTCAGATCTCAGCCTCCTGAGTAGCTAGGATTACAGGCGTGAGCCACTGGTGCCCGACTTTTTTAAAAAAAATTTTATTCCAATGTTTGGGGACTTACTGACCCTATACCCTCTCAAGGTTATCCAGTTTGTGGAGACAGTCAATTGCTGTGTGTTTTTCAAGTGCAAACCAGCCAATCCTGAGCCCACACCCCCAACTCCCTCCATTATAAGTCTCACACTGAACCTATTATGTTCATCTCTCAAGGAACATAAACTGCAGAAACCACAGTTCTTCCTCTTCCTGTTTCTTGACCAACCCTAGTGATTCCCTGTGTGGCACCTCCTCTTCATAGAAGCTGTAAGTAATGAACTCTCAGCAAGTTCAGTGGTCTCCTCAGATCTTACCTCACTATTGCTGAGTCTATAAATAACAATTTAAAACTGTGAGCTGAAACTGGGTACCTGTGGCTCATGCCTGTAATCCTAGCTATTCAAGAGACTGAGATCTGAGAATTAAGGTTCAAAGCCAGGTTAGGCAGGAAAACTCTTGAGATGCTTGTCTCCAATTAACCACCGAAAAGCTGGAAAATAGAGCTATGGCTCAAGTGGTAGATCACCAGTCTTGAGCAAAAAAGCTAAGGAAGAGTGTCAAGGCCCTGAATTTAAGCCCCAGTAGCTTGCATGTGTGCTCTCTCTCTCTCTCTCTTTCTCTCTCTCTCTCTCTCTCTCACACACACACACACTACTACTACTACTCTCAAAACAACACACACTTGCTACTCTCAAAACAACATGAGCTCTCTTTAACTGAAGCCTCCAGAGTAATCTTGGGGGCAGTTATTGTAAGCATTATGCCCACCTTTGGTCCTCAGCTCTTCCCAGACCTGAGCAAAAGCTCAGCTCTGAAGTTCCCGCCATACAGCTGGCCCCTCCCTTTCTACCCCCCAGATCCTGCTGCTACCTAGACAGTGGAGGGTGCTATGTGCTCCCTCTCCAGGGGAAATATGGCTCCTCTAATAAACCTTGTAATAATCTTTCTCCTGTGCCTGCCTGCCTCTGTGTGGTCCCCTGGGATGGATGTGATGGATCCTTTCAGTTATAAAGCCCCCTGGGTACCTCACTCCATTCCTGACATCTCATTAAGGATTTCCATGACACTCAGATTAAAGGCTCCCTTCTCTATGGTGGCACTGAAGAGGAGCCACTAACACAGCTAACACATTCCAGGCCTGGAATGAATGACCTTTTCTTCTGAAGTCTGGCTCTAGACTCTGGCATTGAACTCTCCACCCTTAGTGCTTCCTGAGCTATGATCTGCAGGAAACACACAGTGCTGATCAGCACTACAACCTATGGCACTACTGGGGTTTGAACTTGTTAGGCAGGCACTATTCCACCACTTTAGCACCTCCAGCCCTAGAGATAGCTTTCTAAATATTATTATATTTATGTTAGGCATGACATTACTTATTCCAGCACTCAGAAGTCAGGCTAGAGGATCATGAGTTTGAGGCCAGAATGAGCGACAAAGTGAAATGCTGTGTCAAAACAACAGTACCAACCAAAAAGTGTTAAGACTTTTAAACTTTAGCAACCTGGCTAGATCATGGGGTTCAGTCCCTTTTATAGGTGAGAACACTGAAGCCATTCAAGAAAAATAGTGCTAATTCAGTGACAGAAGGAACCAACGGTGAGCTGCCTGGAAGGTCTACCCATCATATCTTGCTGTCCAGAAATCTGTCCACAGAGGACAGGACAGCCAAATCATGGAGATAATCCTCTTAGCACTCAGGAAGGGTTTGGTGAAGGGTGGTAGGGGAGGAGGGCAGGAGACAGAAGAAGAAAGAGGGAAGATAGTAGGGGAACATAAAAAGAGAAAGAATGAATTAGATAGAAATAGAAAAAAGAAAATCAATTAAAGGAATCATACAGGAAGAAGAAAATCAGGTTAAATAAAAGACCGTAGAGACAGAAAGAAAGGAGACCTAGCTAGATGTCAGGGCTCATGCCTATCATCCTAAACTACTTTAAAGGCTGAGAATGAAAAGATTGAGATTTGAGACCAGCCAGCCCAGAAAAGCCCTAGACTC